CCAATTGCCAATCTTTTGAAGACTGACAACTCACAGCCTCTTCATATGTTTTTGGTTCCTTAAAGGCCAAATCTTGATAAGTCAGTAAAGCTAGAGATAGGTAGTCTTTCATTCTAATGGGTTCCCTTATTTCTCTTTTAGCCCTATCCTAGCTAATTGATAACCATCTAATGAATTTCCTTCTTCACCAACTTCTTAAACATCACCTTCACCTTCTATATTTTCATCAAAAACTTCACCAGTCTCTTCCTGAACATTATCAGTATATTCAAGAGGTGACAGAGGCTCCACCTGCAGCCTAGTCATCTCTTCTTCCTCACTACTAGAGGCACTAATATGATGTTTATTAGTCATGCAGGGCATATCACACTTATTGAAGGTCACATTCCTACTTGTGATCATTCTAAACCCCTTCACACTCCTATCCACAATCTATACCCTTTAACTCTTTCAGGGTATCCCATAAAAACATATTTTTGGGATCTAGGTTCAAGTTTACCACTACTTTGATGGGAAAAGGCTGTACAACCAAAGGTCTTCAGGTGACTATAATATGGTATTTTCCCAGACCATACCTCCTCGGGTGTTCTGCTATCTATGGCACTACTTGGGGTTCCATTTATGATATAAACTGCAGTCATAGCTTCACCCCACAGTACTTTAGGAACTCCAGAACTGATCATCATGCATCTTACTTTGTCTAGAGTAGTCCTATTCATCCTCTCAGTAACTCCATTTTGTTGAGGGGTATAAGGAACTGTTTATGCCTAAGGATCCCACTATCCTTACATAATTGATCAAAAACAACATTACAAAATTCTAGACCGTTATCAGTTCTTAATACCTTGATTTTCTTCCCAATTTGATTTTCAATCAAGGTTTTCCAAATTTTAAATTTTTCAAAAGTATCTGATTTTTGTTTTAACAGAAAAATCCAAACTTTTCTTGAAAAATCATCAATCAAGGACAGAAAATATTTGTTTCCTCCTTGGGTAATAGTAGATGAGGGTCCCCACAAATCAGCATGTACATACTCTAGAACAGAAGTAGTTTCATGCTTTCCCGTATTAAAGTGAAGTCTATGTTGTTTACCAAGTATACAGTAATCACAAAAAGGAATTATGAAACATTATCTTTTCCAAAAACACCCATTTTATTCAAAATATGCAGACCTCTTTCACTAACATATGCCAGCCTATTGTGCCATTTTAAGGTGGCATCAACTCCAGCAGTTAAGGACTCAGCAGTATGACTTGAAACTATTTCAGCTCTAGTGACATATATACCATTTCTTTTGGCACCCTTGAATATTACAAGAGAGCCTTTAAAAACTTTAAACAAACAATTTCCAAGTTTAACTTGGAGACCAATGTCATCTAGATCACCCATAGAAATTAAATTTCTATTTAAGTCAGGAACATACCTTACTCTCTCTAGAGTAAAGATATATCCATTTTCAAATTTTAAAGTCACACTGTCAATTCCTAAAACTTTACAGGCTGCATTATTATCCATTACTACCTCACCTCCATTCATTTCTTTAAAATTTTCTAAACAAGACCTTTTAGAAGTCATATGGAAAGTACAACCAGAGTCAAGAATCCATTCTTGTTTCTGGTCTATATTTTCAAAAAATTTAATGTATGCTGATCAGTAGCAGCTTCAGTAACAACATAGACATCCACAGTTTTATCATCTAGGGATTCAACTACATTTTCCTCATCTATTTTCTTATCCCTCTGGTCATTCTTTTTCTTAAAGCAATCCTTAATAAAGTGACCTGATTTTCCACATCCATAACATTTCCTATTCACAGTCCCAGTCCTAGACTTTGACCTAGGTCTTCCTCTCCGCTTTTTCTTGTTATTATTATTTCCTTGATAACTCTGATTATCCTGACTATGGTTTTGCTTATTAATTGACCTCCCTCTAACAAATAAACTCTCAGATTCTCTTCCATGCTTCTCAGTTTGAAGTTCCAGATCCTTGCTGCTTAAAGAGTTAATAACAACTTCAGGAGTCAAAGAATCCCTGTCATATTTAATGATACTTTTGACATCGTTATACATTTCAGGTAATGAATTAAGAATAATCACAACCTTGTATTCATCGGAGACTTTGTCTCCAACATTGGTAATATCTTGAACCAATTTATTATAAATGTCAAAGTTATCTTCTAAGTCTTTAGTCATGTCAATCTTAAAACTAAAAAATCTTTCTAAGAGAAATAGTTTATTAGGTAGGGACTTAACTAAATAAAGTTCTTTTAGTTTTTCCCACAAATCTCTAGCACTATCATGTTTTCCAACTTTTCTCAAAACTTAATCAGATAGACGCAATATAATAGAGGTATAGGCAAGTTCATCACATTCTGTTTTTTGTGCTTCAGTCATAGTATCAGGAAAATCACCAGTAATGGCTTTTGCAACTTTCTGTTGAATAAGGACTCCTTTCATATTTTGTTGCCAAATGGGGAAATCCCATTTTTCATTAAAAACTCCAAGTTCAAACGTAGTTGTTGTCATTTTGGAATGTTTAACCAACACAAGAAAATTATTTGAAGTTCAAAGTTCAACGGAAAAGAGGTGGTGCAGAATAAAATGTGATAATACACAAGATTACAGAGGTTATTATGTACCAAGAAGCTTCAAAAATCAAGAAAACATTAACACACATAGTGTTCAAAATAACAAGAAATGGCAATGTACTCAATGCAACAAACTTCAAGTTCCAAATGCCCAAATTCACCAGGATTCCGTAAGGATCATGTCCTTAGGTCAAGGCACAATTTAGGTCATCAGAACAGGAAGCAGGAAAAGGATTAAATCAATAAACGAATGTAATTAAAAAAATTAAGTACATAAGTATATTAGTATACTTCAGAAATGAGAACTTAGTAATTCACCAATTTACAGTAATCACAATAAGTACATCTCAGAAATATCAACTCAGTAATTCACTGACTAACAATAATCAAAAAATTATGTAAAACATATATGGCTAGGAAGAATGGATTAAATGTTAATAAAGGGAAAAATAGTCGCAAAACAGAGGAGTGATCATTCAATATCGATCACTCAAGCTAGTGACCAAGAAAAAATTTCACGAATAGTATGGGTTACTCAAGTGGCAAACCAACAGTTCGCGAAAAAAACCAGGACCTGCGTTTTGGGAAAACAAGAACTCCACAATAGATCAATGGTTAGTACACATAAAGTACTTAAGTGATTTTTTTTTTTAAAAAATATCGAAATGAGTCAGATCTGAACAAAAGGGATCTGACTGTGAAAATGAATTTTTCACATCCAGATCACGGTCGAAGGAAGCCTTGAAGGCTCTGATACCACTGCTGTAATAAAACTCAAGAAATACACAAAGTATTTTCAGATCTCACATAGAGAAAAATCGACCAAGAACTGGACCAAACCAACTGTATATCGTTCAATCAATTGTCATGGCTCAGAAATTAACATTGTACCCTTCTGTATAATGGTAGAGACACTAAGAATCAACCCAAATCCCACAAAAGGAACCCGTATGCAGCTACTTCAACGAGCCACAAAGGAAAAACCCTTTCACTGACTCCACTAACTCCTTTTAAAAGAATCACTAAGATTTACTGTTCACACAGTATGAATCTAGTTCCAAATCACAGAGAACTTGGAAGAAAACACGAAGAAGACGAAGGAGATGAGAGGCAGAGAAAAGGACTCGTTCTATAGAGTTCAAGAGTCACCAAAAAAAAAATATCACGCTCAGTCAACTAGGGCATCCACCAAAGGGTCCCTTATATTGAAGAACAGATCACCGTAGATCAGCTGGGTGATCCAATGGCTCGGAGCAGCACACGTGGCCTCGTGTTTGGGCTCGGGTAGATGGGCCTCTTCCATTGAATTATCAGGCAATGGAAATATAATACCAACTATTGGGCCAGGCCCTTTTCATCATAGCCCAATGATTGATTTGGCATCACAATCCAAACATTATTGATTTAAAGAAAGAAATCATAACATGAAAATAGTGGTGTTATTTCCAAATTTAAAAGAAATTTGAGATCAAATAGAAAAATTGCTACATCGTTTTGGTCCAAGTATTAAAGAACTTGTAATCTTCTTTCTGCTATGTTAAGCAATATACCTAAATTTTATGGTGAACATTATCCATGTACAAAATTGTTTATCAATCAAACCAATGTATCACTGGGAATTCTGTGGAGCTTTTAATTTGTATTAGAGTAATAAGTGAAGGAGTTGAAGCTTCTATCTAAAACCCCAACTCTAGGCTGTCAATTCAATCTATATAGCTCTCATTCTTTGGCCTATTGGGACATATTTCGCGATTTACCTCTCTCACAAAATTCTAGGGACGGGGCAGTGGGGCTCTTAAGGTTGGGGTTCAACCTTTAAAAGTGGTATGCACAAGCAATGTTGAACAGGTAGCTGATGTAATCTAAATTCAGCCTCTTTTTTTTTTTTTTATAACTCTTTTCCAGATTTTATGTAAAAAAGTACATTATTATGTATTTTTGTGGAGTTGAAAGTGAAGTGTTTTCTCCTTGTACAGTCCAAGTTATACTGTACAAGGTACAGTTCTCTCACATGCTTGGTGTGAGGGCCCCTCATGTGAGGGGGCTATGCACCGTGCTGTGTGCGTAGCATCGTCCGAAAATGAATTAACTTTCTTTTCTCTCCAACTAGTTTTCCCATTTCTCTATTCTTCAATTTTATTGCTGATTTTGTTCTGTTAATTTCTTAGATGTTTTAGTACAGATTCTTTCTATTCTTTCACCAGCAAAAGTTAACAAGAGGATTAGGGTTTATATATATATTTTCCATATCCTTCATTTCATTGCCCCATCACTCTTCTAGGGGAAAAAAAATAAGAAAAGACGAAACCCTATATATCAATCACTCATTCAATCAATTTGAGCATCGCTAATCGAATTCTCTCAATAATTAATGCATTGATTAGTTTGATCTTCGCAAAATGGCCATTAATAATTTAAAACGAAACAGAAATCCATGCCAACATTTATTTAAGATACCTATGATACAAAGCAAACTTGTACTTCAACAAGCTAGATTTCAATCTAACATGAAAACAAGCATAATATTATACAAATTTATAATTCAAACCTTGCGAACTTCAACGTGCCATATGGTACTTACAACTATGATAAGTTCAGCCAACTTATAATGAGTAGTTTCATATTTTTACAAGCAATCACACTATTATAGATTTGCATGGATTTGCATCCTAATGGGACGCCGCGCTCCTAAAGTGAGTGACGCGGTGGGTTGTGAGTAGGTCTATCCTGGTCGGGGAAATAGCGATGATTATCTGTTCCAGAACTCGTATCGTCATCATCATCATTGTCATTATCCTCGCTTTTCGCACCTTTGCTCGAGTCGAAGTTCATTTTAGTATTTTTCTCGGTTCCTTGAGAATTTCCTTTGTTTGCTGCAACACCTCTTCCATTTGTATCGCTCAAAAGGTGACGATTCTTCATGATAAAAGTTTCTGCATCTGCCTGGGAAGTTCCCAGGATCAATAAAGAGGCAATGAAGAGAACGACCACGGCATTCATTATAATCACATTAAACAAACCTGCAAAATATAAAAGAAACTAATTAAAGTAACAACTATTTTTTTAATTATAATCATTGATGATTAGTGATAAACAGGATTTAATGCATAGATGTAAAGACTTTCAACGACTAAGAATAGCATTCAAACGTCTGCTCGGAAAAATTCCCCGGCTAATTTTGCAGACTGGTGAAAAAAACAAGCTAGGGTTTGCTGAATTTACCAGCTTTCTTTTTCTTTAATTTCTTGGAATTACTTTATGAAAATCAGCTGCAGAAGTTAGAATTATATAGTAAAAAATTGTTACTGTTTCTTGATTAATTAATTGGTGGCAGGCCAAAATTAAGCACTAATGAAGCAACAATTGAAGTAGTGGAGCACTCAGAAAACATATATATCTCATGCCACCGAAGGAATAATTGCGATTAAGATTGATAATTAATTATTGAGGTAACTATTTATCCGTAGCGCTCAAAAATGGATGACGCTCCTGAATATTTTAAATAACGAAAGAACTTTTGGTGTTGACTTTTTTAAAATATAGGAAAATAAGATAAAGTAAAAACAAATGCTGAAATTATTTTCTTTAATTACTTATTCAAAGTTGGGATATATTGACTTTGGATTATGTCATATTCATAATAGATTTTTTTAAAAATTTATTTCCAACCACAAATTCTTATAATAATTTTTCCTACTTTTTGACCATGATTCTCTAAAAAAATTACTTTTTTCAAAATTTATTCTTGAAAAATTTATATAAAAGAAAGTCCATCTTTCTGTTGAAGTCTTTATTAGTTGGATGCTCGGTTGGTTCCAACAATTCTAACAGTAGTATTGACTACTCTCAGTAGATAGAATTAAATAATTCTAACAATAGTATTGACTACTCTCGATAGATAGAATTAAATAAGATAAAAAAGCTAAAATATTGTATACATGTTCTTATATTAATTATATAATTTTATGACGGTCAAGAATTTGAGCCTCAAGACTACCCTTTTTTTTGTGAATGATAAACACTAAGTTTTATCAATAAGACTAGTTATGTGCGATATGACTTGAAGTGCACACTTGACGTGGCAAAAATAGTGGTGAAACTGTCAAATCTAGTTTACGAGCTCAATTCAATTAGCTTAGACTTGCTTAATGCAATGGACTCACACAACCCTTGACTATTTACGATATTTTTTTAATCAAGAAATCTACTTCATTCATCCTTTCATTGGAGAAATTATTTTCACGGCCAATCACATATATTGATGAGGGACAATTTTGCACAAATTATTATTTAGTGAGACATGTTCGCGCGCTTTATTTATATGTTATTGAACTCAATATTTTAATTGCATACAACTCCGTACCAAAATAAGTTGTCTACAATTACAAATATATGTATTGTGTCTCCAGGCAAAGAATAATGATTCGTATAGCTTACAAATTTCCCATTAATTGTTAGTTTAATGTATTTGGATCAAATTTAATATTTTATTTAATTTTGAGTAATTCTTTGCCTCTATGCTGACCCGATTTTAACTCAAACTGGACCAATTGTGGCAGTTGACACCAGAAGAGAAGTCTATAACCTCGATATATACCATAGAATGATCATTTTTCTTCCAATTATCGATCAAAATCCAATTCCAATCTCAATAAGAAGCCTCACAAGATACGATGCAGCTCGGAAAACCCTAATCCTTGACACGTATGCATCTATGTATACAATAGAGATATAATGCCAACTAGTTTTAACAATTAGTGTAATTCAAGTTACTGAATTTTCTGATGGAATATTTGTAGTTGCAGTTCACTCGAAAGAATTTAATTGTGTCTTTAAGGCAATTTCTAAAGACAATCCGGAGGCTTTTCAATTTAAAAGGAATCGGTTGTGACGGTGTCTTTCTGATCATAAGCCATCAAATCTGCTGAGGTAACTTGTTTCTCGATTTCACTTTGCTGAGGACAGGGACGGATCCAAGAATAAATTCAAGATCGAGTTACAAAATTTCAAACGGGACTACTACGCGAAAAAAAAAATTTTACACATAAAAAACTGATTTTTTACCAAAAAAATAAAAAATACTTTAAAAAAAAAGCTCTTGGGCGAGGGAGGGGGTTACAGCCCAGCCCAACCCCCCCTCAACCCGTCTCTCGCTGAGGACATCAGCATTTTTAATTTGTTTCACAGTGTTAGTGTTGGAAATAAAAGGGTTTGGAGAAGAGACAAAATGAATATTAAAAAATTGTAGCAACAAGATGAAGAAATCAAAAAGTTGTTCAAGTACAAATTCGAAGGTTCGAACGCAGGATCGCTGTCCTCAAACGATATTTGCCCCCTCTCGAAATTGAATGAAATGTTTAAGGATTTTAACAAACGGCTTGTAGGATTATATCAAGCCTTATAAAGGATTTAATACTAAAGCATAAATATAATCCTCCAAAACTTTAAGAACACAAAAGAAGATATTGAATATGAATGTAAATCAACAGTTTGATTCAATATGAAATGATATGTGGATCTGAAGTTGTTTTTCAATATTTCCAGTGTGTTTGTATTAATCATTCATTACCTATTTATAGGCCTCAATCAATATACCACGAAATGGTGCCAAAACACGATGTAAAGTGGCTACTTTTAATTCAAAACAGTTCCCAAGTTTCAAATTGAAAAATCAACCAACGACTATTTTTTAACATTATGCGTACGCATAGTGGAAGCAAATTTAATTCTATTTTGGCCAAAACACATCTTGTGTGCATAAACAAAAATCAAAATTTTCATTTTTCAATTTCTTTTTATTCCACTGATTCCATAATTGAGCTGAACAATTAGCACATTATCATTTCATTGATTTTGAACAAATATTCAACAATCTCTCACTTGTTCAAAATCAACATGATCACATATCCAAAATGACGACACTTATGCATAAGGATCAAATATCGTTCGATTTGAATCTAATCATAGTGTAATTTAGAACAAAGTAAAGTCGAAATTAGAGATAGCATGGAAGCTTTGAACTAATTATTCATTGTGACAATATTGGTGAGAACTAATGATGGCAATTGGACGAGTTATCTTGCCTCGTCCCACCCTTCCTACTTTAGACAAGGCGAGGCATGGTCATGCCCCGTTTGCTGCCCCCTTTTTTTTCAAATTTATAATTTAAAAACGCTAACATTCAAAGTAAATACTTAAAACAAACAATATCCGAAAATAAACAATTACAAATATAATTACATTGTAACTAAATCTCACTTCTTTATCCAAAAATAAATTTGATATTTTTTCAACTTTATAACTTCATTCATCAGCAAGTTCAGAGATTATAGAAGATGGATCCTAAAAAATGAAAGAAATATTATCCTCAATATCATCATAATAACTATGATTAAAATTTAAATTATGTGATAAATAAAATTACCTCCTCATCATTCATATTGGAGCAACATCCAAAATATGAAGACGGTGCAGTATTCGCTATTAATAAAATAAAATAATTAGTAATAAGAGAATTCATAAAAGAAACAATATGAAAAGCAAATGCGTGAATATCGACCCATAACCAATCTTGTGCACACATTAAAGCCTCTAAAATTTTCGGGTGAAGCCCATTTCTGTGTGGACTAATAAATCTACCACTAGTACTGAAGGCAAAGTCGGATGCCACAGTAGATATTGGGATGGTCAAAATATCTTTTACAATTTGAGATAAAGTTGGATATTTGATTGCATTTACTGTCCACCATGTCAATATATCTAAATCATCCGACCGAGACAATATAGGCTCATCCAAAAAAGTATCAAGCTCAATTTTCACACTAATAGGAGCTTCAAAATTAGAAACAAATTTACAAAAACCCACCATGCGATTTGATTTATTATTAGCACCTGACATCTCGATTTGACTAGAAGTAGAAAACTAAGCTACATATCCAAGCATTGTAGCCAATGAATGATTATAGTCTGTAGCTTGTAGATCTTTGAACTCTTAAAGAGACCCCCTAATACACATTAACCAACATGGAAGCAGTAAGTCTAAAAGCTTGAGAAATGAGAATGATATTAACATAAGATGAAATTTACTCAAAAGTGATACTATAGTTGGTAAAGGGAAAGAAGCCAAACCCGATATCTTGAGGCAGCAAAAACGGACAACTGAAAATCGATGATCGGTGACGGCAATTTGGCCAGAAGATAAGGGAGCCGGCGAGTGAGAAAGAGGCGACGGGCATGAGACTGTGAGAGGCAGAAACTAGAGAGGAAAATGGAAGTGGAAATTGGAAACATTAGGGTTGCAATTGCATTTTGTTTGTGACTATGGTCCGTCCGTGATTTGCCATTTTGCCTTTTGTAATTATTAATTTTTTTTTAATTTCATGGGGC